ATTTGCCAAATCTTCTCTGCCAATGCCAAACAGCTTATTCTGCTGCGAGCAGTTGGTTTTAATCAACCAACACCGCTAGATGCCACTGGATCCTACACACTTTAAGTCATTTTCCACATGCGAGTATTTGGTGTCTTCTTTAGTTTTTAATGATGGTGAACTGAATATACTTAGATTTAGGACCTTTTGGTTTGCCAAAACAAGGCAATTCAAGACCACTTTGTGAACTCTCACTATTTTCTGACTTTCTATAGACCAAATGATTAATCAGATAAGGATTCAGCTGATAATATCGGGCCTTTTTTCCACTATAACAACGGCGATAGCAGAAATAATGTTGTAATACAGTGTGCTGTTGTTCTCCACCGTCTTGTTCCACCTCTTACTAATTTCCTTTTCTTTTCTGTCCCATGTGGTCTTGTATCTGTAGACATATAGCATATAGAGGATTGGTGGGGGTGGAGGGCTTCCAGCTCGTGAAAGGAACAGTGACATGGGAAATAAATCTCTCTCACACGCACACATTCTTCTCAAGCATGCAGGGGTTACTGTATTCATAGCAGCTGCATGATGAAGCATCTGCCAATATGGCAATCCAAGTCTTGTGACACTCTCGGTCCCAAATGGTGTTTTTAATCTGCAGATCTGGAATCAGGCTTTCAATAAAACCGTTTCAGCACGGAATGGTATTCTTCTTCAAAAATATTTTTGTGATATTTGTTGATATTCTCACGACGTCCCGACAGCAATGAATTAATCAAACTCTCACACGAAGGAGCCTTAAAGGGGCGGGCTGTCAGAATTACCGATTTGTTGATTTTGTCGCTAGATTTAGCAATTTTGTCGCTAGTGCTGCTAGCTACTTTACATTGGAAAAGAGTTGGCAGCACTGGGCTGGGTCTAGCTTTTAGTTCATTCTTGTGTTTCCACCAGAAGAACCAGAATTTTTTTTCTTCCTGTATTTTTCTGTTTTATTGACGCACAAATTGCATTAAATCAATAAGACGACTTAAAGGAAGACTGGTTGAACAGATTCTCACCACGGACAATCTACACGAAGGATCACTGAATCTTTTGGTGGTGGAGAGCGGGAACCTTGTGGGAACTTGGTACTCTGCTCCTACAGTCAAAATGTTCCTGGGGGCGAAAAGAGCCACTAGACAGTCATTCAGTTCCTGTGCAGTCAGACAGGCCTTCAGCAAACCTTTCCCCAACACTGAGCTGAAGTGGACCTAGCTTCCTGTTTGAAGCTATGTCCACTTTTAGTTTTAAGGAATCATTTACTTGGAGCTCCCTTCTCCACCACTCTGTGACACTTTGCACCTCTTTCCTCTCCCTCTTGTCTCCTCCACTCTTTGTTCTTTCCCTTTCAACGTGGATGCCAAACACTGCATCAAGTTGTTGCTCTTCATGTAAACCACAGCTGAGATGTCTCCAGCTGGCCCGGCCCATTTAAACGGATCTGTTTCAGGATATAGGATATTGTTTCCTGTTCTTTGTGAGTTAATGGTTATTTAACAGAATGACTAATACACTGGTCTAGTGTTGCACGGTATACCGATACTGTAAAGGTATAGTGCCATTTAAAAAAAAAACAAAAAAAAAAAAACTGTACTATACCCCATTTTATTAGTGGAGGTACTCAAGCAGTACCAGTATTTCAACAGTGGGTTTTTTTAGCCATATTTTGAGTGTATGTTCATCGCTCTGCTTCCTGTCCCTATAGGCATAGTGGGCATAACAACATCATCTAATATCATCTATATGACACTTTGCTTTTGGTGCTTAAAGCTCCAAAAAAACTAAAAACATTTTAAATTCTCAACAGCAATGTCTCTTTCCAGATATCATGACCCGGTTACTCAAGATAATCCACAGACCAAACAATGTAGACTGATGAGTTGCACGACAGTTAAGAAAAATATATACATTTCTGATTTTGGGGTGAACTGTCCCTCTAAAATTTCAACAGTTGACTTAAAGTTGTGCAATTTCAAAACCTTTTTTTTTAGGGTTCACAAATTCAAAAAGAAAGTTCAAGTCTCCAATATTCAGAAGAGAATAAGATGCATTTTTAAGATTCAAATCTTCGTGTCCAGTATCTGCTCTCATAACATTTTAATGCCCGACGGCTGAGGACATTGTGGGATTAAAAAAAGAAAAGTGCACGCTAAAGTTGCATGTTTGCCTGGGCTCTGTGGAGACGCACTGAAGCCGATCAGCTGGTGTGTTTTCGGTCATGTATTTATGAGTCCAGAACAGGAGTTGCCATGGCAACTAGCATTACCCCCTCAGGAGTAGCTCCGGTGAACGTACGGTAGCCGGTCCGTGATAAACGCTTCTGCTGGGTTCTCCAGTTAGGCAAGAGAACAATGGGATATGTTGAGTCAAAGATGATCGTGCCTGCAAGACGGGTCAATTTTTTATTCATATAGTCCAATATTACGAATCCCAAATGTTCCCTCATGGGGCTTTACAATACGACGCCCTCTGTCCTTTTTGACCCTGGCTTGGCATGTTCTCCTCTCCTGTGTGTGTGTGTGTGTGTGTGTGTGTGTGTGTGTGTGTGTGTGTGT